GCGTCGATCTCTGCAATCGGGTAATCTTTCACGTTTCCCTGCATTAACGACATCGCCTCGATGGCAGAAAGGTAAGAGAGTTTCAACGGCTCCATGTTCATAACGCGGGAGAGACGGGTAGAAATCAAGATGTGAGTCTCGCAGCCAAACCGGGGGAGAAGATCCATCACGAGCTTCGAATCCCACCAGTCCTTTTCACTCTCGAGGTTATCGATTATAACCAAGAACGGTATATTTCTCATCAGCTCTTTCCTGATTCGGGAAATCGCTGCCTCTTCTTGCTCTTCGAAGCTCTTCGTTCGGGTTTTGTCAGAACAGTTCTCTACTCCGACATCGACTTCCAAATACTGATAAAGATTCAGATAGTTCTGCCTGATATATCGGCTCTCACCGCCTATCCATAGAACCATCTTATACCTCTGATGATGCCGGTATGCGAATTCCAGAAGCAGCTCAGTTTTTCCGATCCCTGAATCGCCCGAAACGCAAGCTACACCCTTACCATATGCGACTTTCATTGACCGTTTCCTCCTCGGATTCTGCCCTACCTTCCCTTGCTGTTTCTGCTGCAACCGAGAAGGAAGATCTGTACTTTGCATCTCGATCTCCTTCTCTGACTCCTTCCACACCACTTTCTCTTTGCCCTTCTTCTGCTTTTCATCCGCTGGACCGTTCTTGTTCCACCCGAGCGTCACATTCTTCCTTCTTGGCCTCGCTTTTAGCTCAAAGTAATCCCTCTCGGAATCTCGGGCAATGTCCCCGAATAGAAAGAACTCTAGCTCGGATAATTCCTTCTTCCTCCCTACAAAATTCTCGTTACGAGGGTATGGAAATTCTTCCTTCTCTGCCTTATCCCTCCATTTCGTCAACCGTTCCACAATACTTCTCCTTCCTAATCTCATTGCCAACAATGTCACTGCCCTGAATATACAGTCTCTCCAGTTACCTTCATGAGCTTCGAGTTTCCACTCGTCAACCCGAGAAAGCCCGTGAACAGCTTCCTTCCACTCTTTCTCGATCCCTCCATACAAAACCCACAATTCGCCTCCTTGTTTCTCCCACAAGTCGCCTCGTTTTTCGACTATATCTCTCACGAGGCAGTCACCGGGAGATAGGTCGAAGAAAATGGGCACCAGATTCTTCTTGCTCAAGAAAAAACGTAACTCCTCTATCGTATACGGATTCTTGAATGACTTTCTCGTGAGAATGATAACCCCGAAAGAGGCACTGTCCATCGCTCTTTCAACTATCCTGTGTTTCCGAGAACTCTTGCAACGGAACCTGTCCGACATGAAACAACTCATACCTTGAACTTCGAGCTCCGCCCGGAGCCAACCCGCAAAGCGCAACAGAGAAGGCTTTCGCCCGTGCAGTCCTATGAACACGTCGCAGCATCTCATCCTGTTATACGACGATGTCTGAAACTGGATTCCAGTTCTCGAATTCGAGATGCCACTGGTGGAAGCAACACGATCAGGCTTACGAGGAACAGAGAATCCAGGATCTTCTTGAAGCTCCATGTCCTGGAAACCGGAACTGAAGCTAAGAGGCTCGAACCTGTCGTGTTGAGCATCTGACAACGTCGATTCCGATCGTTCTTGTTGAGGTTTTGGCGATCTGGGGGAGAAAAACGGAGACTGGTTAGCTGAGATGAACGCAGTGGATGAAGAAGAAGACATGTTCCTCGTCGTTTTTGCACATAGTTGTCCGAATCTGGAACTGTCGTCTCGTGAATCCATGCCCAGATTTCTTCCTCCTTTCTTGAAAGTCTACCAAATCCCATAAATCCAACCTATGAATCCATCGACGCCAATCTGAATCGGACAACACCCAAAAATAGAACACAAGAAACCAGATTTCAGTCAAACGGTACAAAATCCGTCAAATCACCAGCAATATGAAACCGCTGCTTTCAAATTAAAACATCAAAAACCCAAAAAAGCAAAGGGGGTTTATGGGTGTTACAGGATATGGAGGAACAGAACAAGAACAGTAACAGAGCGCATAAAAGGGAGAAATTTCACAGAGCAAGCTTTGGACAAACAGAAACCCTAGAAAGGGAGATTACCAAGTTGAAGTCTTTTGCATATAAATTTGGTAAGAACGGAATAAATGGCGATGGAATTCCCAATTTACCATAACTCCATTCAATCTAAATCTACGTTAGCTTTAAAAGCACACCGAAAACCCAAGAGGAAAAAGGGGGGGAAAGCGCTTCGTAAGAGCAAATAGGGGAAATCATAGCTTCTTTCTTTTAGGGAAAAAATAACTTATTTACGGAATCGCGGATCTAAACAGAGCGGAGAAATACAATAATTTTTTTTATAAAAAAAAACACGAAATTTCTTATTTCTTCTGTTACATAGATTCAGATCTGAGAACTTACATGGCTTGGTGTCCTGAAGCGAAGAACGAATTAGCGGATCTAGAACTCTGAAACTTCGAGAACCAATCAAAACCCAGCTACCGAAGACGAAGGACAAACCCCAAGAAAGATTTCAGATTTGGGAAGAACCCGAAAATCTATGGATTCTAGGGTTTTCAGAGTAACTGCAGAACGACAAAGCGGCTCGATTAAAAACGACAGGAGCGGCCCATTCAGAAGCTCAACCAGATAGTAAAGAGCTGAAAACGAGAGGAAGATAGGGAGAGGGAGAGAGAGAGAATAAGAACACAGACACTGTAGCTTTCACAGAGGAGAAGTCGAAGGGCATTGCCATTTACAGATGGACTTGAAAAGGACTCTAGCTTTTTTGGTTTTTTCAAAAATGGGGCAGACAAAGTTGCGATTTTTTATATATAGAAAGTCAAGAAATGGGATTTTGATCGGAACCCAGAAGATAACCCACCAAAAATCTGCGATTTCGATCAATGCCCGAAGAGAGAAATCGGAGGAGTTTGAGTTTTGCTGAAAGAATGGCACGAGAACAGGAACGAAATCGGGTGGAAGCTCACCTCTATTCAAGATATAATAATAAGCATTCCATTTTCACAGGTAATGTTTTCAAATTCCCAGGAGAACACAGTGATGGGGCTCTTATCCAAAACACAGAAGCACAGGGCACTGTCTAATCACAAAAACTCCTCTCTCTCTCTCTCTCTTACAGAGATCTTCTATTGTCTCTTTTTGTCTGAACACTGTTCAAAGGATGAAGGAGAGACAGGGATTGGGAGAAGTGTATAAAAAAAAAGGTTTTTTTATTTTTTATTTTTTCTCTTGAGACCTAAAAAGGAGATCAAACGAGGTATGGCTCGTGGGCTCCACAGTTACAAGTTCTTTCTCCCGTTGTTCTTCCTCGGCTTCTCGATTCCCTCCCTCGTGAGCAATGGTTTCCTGAACGCACAAAGATGTTACCGCAATCACATCTCCAGCCAGGACATGGGTGTCACTGTGTCTTTTTCATCTCTCTTTTTACTCGTTTAAATTAATGATTTTTTTTTAATTAAAAAAATTCGATTTATTATCCACATTAATCAAACATTCATATAGCAATCATTATTATTATGTAAACACATTACAAAGTAGCCAGCTTTTTTGTATAGTAGTATGATCTTCTATCTATATCTCGAAGTCCTTCATGGTTTGAAAGTGGTATTCCATAATCCATGAAATTTTATATATATATATATATATAAACAAATATTTGAAATGTCAAAACTGTAGAATTCGAATTTTATAAAGCAACCAAACCCTCGAATACAAATAGAGGTTACAACCCATACACAAATATTGAATATGTAAAATCCTTATGAAACGTGTGAAAAATGATACCGGTTGTCTTATCCACCTAACTTTTATTATATGACAAATGTTTATTATAATTATTGTAATATGGAATCTATTATATAAGTAGCGTTTTGCGTAGTAATTATGATTAGTCGTGTTCACGACCATTGCCTTTTCAGTCCATGATTGAAGTAGACAGCGGCTCCCCACGATCATACTTCTATAATTTCCTCTTTTTTATGAATAATTAATCTTTCAATTTGTATTCATTTGAATTTACAAATAAAAAAGAATCCGCGTGTAAGAACAACAAAATAATAAAACGAAGGTAAAAATAAAGTCAATTATAATATATAGTTTTTTTCTAGTTTAGTTATTATCTTATAAGGTATATATAGATTTCAAAAATTATTTATCATACATTTATAAAATATATTATTGATATCATATGATTAGAAAAAAAAAATGGAATGCTACAATAGATGGGGACTTGGGGAGTGCATGGAATATTCAAATTTCTAGTGTGTTCCCATCTATACACACATGTGTATGTGTGCGTGTATATGTGCATGCATGTGAGAAATTTCTTTAAATCATTTTTTATATTTATAGTACAGCGAGCTTCCATGTAAAGTCGGTCCAAAAGACAAATTTGTTTGGACATGCTCACTCTCACATGCTCGCACGTGATCTTACGTACGGTGGAGATTCCCTCGTCCCCTGATCTTCCCGCTTGCCATCAACGCTTCAGATTCGCGCGTGTATCCACTCGCTCTCCACACACGTGGGACTTGTTAGATAGAATTTAGAAGGGAGCCCGCAAGTTTTGTTTCCGGGCCGTTATTACCACATGATTTTGTGTTTTTAATTTCGTTGTCGTCTTTTTTTTATTTTATGATTTTGTGTTGTAAGAAATTGGTATGTATCGTATGTAACTTTTGAGTATAAACCAGAATTATTTAATATTCGTTGCAAGATTATATAAATCGAAATTATGGCTATGAAAGGATTATAGTTATACTAAGCTAAATCAGAGTTATGATGATGATAAAACGTCATACATACTTTAATACAATACTAATAAAGGTTATTACTAACTTCGAAACGCAAATCCTTAAATGGAAGCCGGTTGAATATATGTATATATATATATAGTTATACAAATTGTTATTGTATCACATTAAAAAAAGCATACGATAATAGCTTGTGAAATCAATTAATAAAACACAATGAAAACAAGTAGATATTGGACGAGAGAGATAAAAATAGGAAGTGTGAACTTAGATCCTTTATTTATTTTTTTCCAAAGTGGTTTGGTGGCTGCTCAAATAGGAAATGAAATTCGCAATAATACAACCAGCTGTCCCTTCCTCCCTGCGGCACTCCATTTTCAACCTCATGTCTGTAATATTCGGACATTATTCACACGCACACACACGTACGTATACATATATACATATACATATATGTGTGTGTGACCAATTATTGAAGTGCCGGAAGATGTATACTCTTTTATTATATAATTTGTTTGTTTTTTTTTATGTGGCGGCATTAGAAAATAACACATGTGCAATGATAGATGTCGAAATCATTAAGTGATCTTTTTAATTTTTTTTTAAAAAAAGTATGGTTTATTTACTCTACGTAAATATCTTCAACGGTTGAGTTTGACAAAGTATTCTCATGTCCACACTTGCCTACATCTCAACCATTTGTGTCTTGGTGTTATATATATATGTATATATATGTGTATGTGTGTTGTGTTTTTGTGGTAAAATTCATTTGGTGTTTGAACTTTTAAGCCTTTTTTCTTTCTTTTTTTTGGTTGAAAGTTGGAAACTATAAAATATTCGGAAGTCGCATTGTGTAAAATCGTAGTGTTTTTGCACGAAAACCTAAATGTTGTGATCTTTTTTGTTTAGAATTTCCCTATTTTCATAAATTAATAAAACATTTAAAGATTGTTTAAATTTACAGATTTTGGCGCAGCCTATGTAAAGTTGTTTTTCCCCCTTAATTTTGGGATATTGGATGAATCAATATTATTGCAGCTTGTAAAAAAGGTTTAAGTTAAAACAAAACGTTCAATTTTTATATTAAATTTGATTTTATTAGATTTCAGTTCAGATCAATAAAAAAATACTCATTTTAAAAAAAATTATCATTTTCAATTTTTTTCGATAGCCTTTAATATTAAAATTAGGTTTGAATTCAATTTTTCAATTTTTAAGAACTATAATTAATTTTCATATCGAATTCCATTTACCGCTTTATTTTATTGTGGCAATTTTCCTCTTTGCTATATTAATTTAATGCATAAATTCATTGCGACCACAGTTTAAGTATGATAATCACTATATATATTACTTTGGGGTGGTCGTTTCGTTACGTTTATTCAGAATCAAATCATAAGGAACCGAAAAATACAGTATTTTTTCAAAAACCGAACCGAATCAAATAAAATCCGAAAAAATCGAAATTTTTTTCTCAAAATCTAAAATTTTTTTTAATAAAAAACGGAATTAAAACCGAACCAAATCGAATATAATATAATAACCGAATGATATATATGTTTGTAAAATAAAAAAAACCGAACCAAACCATTAATCGGAACCGAATACCAAAACCCTCACGCCTATTATTACTAATAGCACGAGATGCACGCGTTAAAAAAACGAGTGGGTTGTGTGTGTGTGTGTATGTGTGTATATATATATATAGAGAGAGAGAGATATTTATGTAAAGGTTTTCCGTCCATATTTAGAATTGTGTAGTTCAATGCTTGTTTTCTTGTACGACTGAAATATATATAAAAAAAATTTTACAATTCTAAACATTTATACTTAACTATGTTGTGGCAGAGAGAAAATTTAAAGGAAAAGATTCATTGTTGGAAATATAGATTAAATATTTGATATCTTTTTCGACAATGTTATTATTGGATTCAAAGACGTGTATACATATACATATATATATAATCATTATTATTATTAGTTTTTTTTTAGGTTGAGAAAGATGTAATAAACTGAAAATTATTATAAAAAAAATTATTCAAATATGATATAGCCCAACCGACAAAGCTTCGAATGTCGTCGTCTCGAGTATTTCTTTATTTTGTTTAAAATCATATAAAGGCTTTTGCATAATCACACTTTAACGTTAAGAGTTCAATATAATAACACCGTAAACTCGGAATCATTTCGAATAAAATTAAATTTAAATACATTGTCTTAACTCATTCGGCGATAACACGTAATGTGAACAGTATTCAATAGTCAGAGAGTCGCCAAGTGGGGTTGGATTATCTTTTAAATTATAAAAAAATAATAAAAACTCCATAGGGACAAAGAGCACGTTAATAGAGAGATGCCCCCAAACAAAATCTTAGTTTAATTAGTTAGCTAATTAATTAGTCCGTCCCTTTTGTTACATTTCTAAGCCTCCCTTAATGTCCTTGTCTCCTCGTGGGTCCTTTCGAACCTCATTTTTTTTAGTTCTAAATAATATATTTTTAAATAATGTTGAGGATATTTCTGGTATATATTATAATATATCTAAAATTTAAATTTTTATTGATACTATTTTGAAATCTTTTGTTCTCTCTCTATATATATACATATCATAAATTGGGATAAATACTGATAACTTCCTTTTAATCGGTTTCCGCCGTTAATATTGTATACAAAACACAATGTTATGTTTGTTTTAATTTAAGAAAAGAGTAGAGACGCCCATCGGAGACTGCTAATGACATTGGTTATCGATATATAATATGACGAGTTTTTATTGTGTATAAAAAAATTTAAAAATTGCAAATTGGTGTATTTTTTAAGATGACCGTTTCATGGCAAAGGCGAAATCTATTTTTAGGATGTTCTTCCAAATTAAAAAGTGTAACTTGTGAATTGTGACAAATAAGTAAAAGCTTACGTAGAAACTTCTACAACATTTATGGGCCGACTTTCTAGAACATCAGCACAAGTATAAAGCCCTCGAGAATGCGATTGCAAGATGTTATTAGTGTTTATTACTTCGGTCTAGGACTCGAGACAAATTGTTTACGTGAGTTTTGGATCATGGACTGTTATGCATGGAGGCTTCAACAAATTCTAACCCAAGATTGAAATTTAGGAAAATCCAGATTATGCAAAGTGTCAATTCACATTCAAATTCTCAAATTGTTTTTTGCATTTGTAAAAGGGTATAGAGTCGATGTCTCGCCATGTAGTGGCGGTTCCTGTACTTGCTGTATGCATGCCGTTGTAGGAGAACGACATTCCTTGTCTTGTTCCTGCAGAGACTGACGCAATGGTTCAGTTCTAGACATTGCCATGCTCTTGTACAATCTGTTCATCCTCTTCTTCTTCAACGGGACGAGTTGGAAGTGGAAATTTAGAGCTACGGAGAGGTCACACGAGATAATATTAGACAAAACATATCGAAGTGTTTGGGATCTTACTAATGTTTTGTTCTGTCAGTTGAACTTGGGACTGAGATAAAACTTTGGATCCCGGAAAAATCTGGCGAGGATCTCAGCCTTGTCGGAAGAGAGGTCGGTGTTCGCCAAAATGTCTTCTTTAGATGCTTTGGCAATTGCTTCTATTGAACCAATGGCTTGGTTCAGCTGAGATCAAAGGGAACCAGCAGTTAAGCAAAGTTCAATATAGGTACTAGAACATGATGTATTGAAGCAGGGGTGTGAACTTGATTTGCATAATTCAGAAGAAACTATTACCGAGAAACATGCGTTGTTTAGTATAGAAACACCACGATATCTCTAGAACAGTCATAAAAAAGATCATTACCGAGTGTGCATCGTGTTTTTCGATTCTGGGTATGGAGGTCATAACTCGGATGAACATCTCAACATCCTGCACCGAACGCTTTCTCTTCACATGCAAAAGAGAAAGCTGAAAACTTAGAATTCGCCAACACAGGCAGTATCGAAATGGATCATAACATTTATCGCTACTCGAGAAAGCATACCTCATCCTTGAGCTTTGATGCGGCGTCCTGCTGTTTGCAAGCTGCAGCAGCTCACACCACACTTTCATCAAATCAGTGTCACGGATGGAAATAGCAAACCTAAGAATATCGTGGTAATGATCGTACCGCCACGAGAGTGAGCTATCTTGACGATTTTTTCGAACCCCATCTCTGAATCAAGGACTGGTACAAATGATGGTTTCCCAATCTCCATCCCGTATCTTGGTCAAATCCAACAAAGTTATCATATTCATTTCGTTGAAAAGCTTCCATTTGAGAAGATGGAACACAAGTTGGTAATGCTACTCACTGGAAGTAGGATCGGACAAAAGAGTCGTTTTGCTCCTTACTTGAAAGGGTCACAACAACGTAGAGATTTCCAAATTGGGACTTCAACTTGTTCACTCTGGTTCAGGTTTATATCCAAATCAATCATCAGAAAACCAAAGAGGGAAAAATGGCTAAAGTAAACTAAGTTTTTTGACCTGTTGAAGATTGGGGCTACAATGGAGTAATCCCATTTCGTCACGAAGACGAAAGCCACGGATACGCCTCCGCAATTGAAGATCAAATCCTATGGAATTGAACAAGTAATTGAGCTCAAATGCACGAATCCGTAGTCGAATCAACCTTAGGGAATCGAAATTCGGACATAATACCGGAGCGATCGAGACAAAGTTGAGGCGGAACGAATTGGCGCTGAGAAACGCGGAAATGAAACCGATGAGCGAAGGCTGCTGTTCATCCTTCCAAGCGGTGTTCATCATACAAACTCCGGCGATATTTCCCGACATTGATCCAAACGATACTTCTCCGGCGAAGAAGAAGAAGAAGAAGAAGAGACCTGTGACTGTGACAGTGAGGTTCGGGGGGAAGAGGTGTCGGATTTTATACTCCCTTCCTTGCCCAGCGTCGTTTCTTTTCTTTTCTTTATTTCTCAAATTTAATTATACAATTAAATTATAATTTAATTTACACAAGATTTGAGGAGAAAATAGGAATACATAAAATGTGAAACTTTTTATATATATATATATATTAACATAATATTAAACAACAATATACATATATATAATATATATACAAACACTGAATACGAACTTTGACGATGAGACGACATGTTATCAGTAAAACCGGTTTCTTCCGCCGGTTCACCATCTCCACCTACACGACA